CATTTATGAGAAAAGTAATAATAATAAAAAAAAAACCACCATATTGACTTGGGGTACCAAACTATTGACAGTGTAGGTGAAATGAACCAAGTAAAGACTTATACCTTGTCCCTTGACTTGTTTAGGCCATTAATAGATAATTTATAATTAATTCATGCTATCTGCATTTCTGGCTATTAGTTTCAAAACCTGGCCAGGGCAATACACACCAACACCATGATCTATAGAAAAGGCAGAAGCTCATTTAATCTTCAGGAATTTAATTCGGATCGAAAGAAGAGAAGAAAAACCCACCCTCAATATACGGCATTTGTGCTAGTTCATAGTACCCATAGGATGACCGGGTGCCCTGAGCCTTCACGGGGTCCGTGGAGCTGGCTTTCCAACTGCCATACTACCAGGTAGAACCCTGGGCCTCTGTGACCTCATCTGGCTTCAGGCTGCACTTTTCTTCCCAGGACTTTGGGAACTGCAAAGCACCGTTCGGCCTTTGCGAGGATTCTGTATTCAAAGATTGGCCCTTTAAGGTCAAAACCTTAACCTTTTTTGTGTATGTTGACGCCTGGTGGTAATTGACTGGACAAGCCCCTGCCGTTTTCTGGGGAAGAATTCAGAAGTGGTTCCCTGCCTTCTTCCTAGGGCTGAGAGAGAGACGTCCCAACTGGCTCTGGGCCTAAGAGGACTAGAACAGTTTCTAGCCTGGTGCCTTTAACCATGGCACCAAAGTGGTTGCCCAAAACGACAGAGACATTAAGTGAAAGACATTTACAATTGGGTGGGGGTGGGGCTGGGGGGGACAAAATTAGCACACGTTTGATGAACTAAGGCTGGATTAGCAAAAGTCCCAAAAGCTTTCTAAATTATGAGGGATGCAGTAAATGGCACTAAACATTCCTTGGGCCGCCGTGGCAGTGAAGAGGTGCCAACGGGTCCTTCCAGGGGTTGGGACGAAGTGCTGAGTGACGAGCAGTAGAGCTGCGTTCGAGGCCTGGTTCTCTGCAACAGATTTATGACATTTCAACTTTATTTTTATGGCTTTTAAATTAATACCAAGAAAAGCACTTTAACAAAAAGTGAAGGACATATTTCATCAGTTATATACAAATTCTACATCTATAGGAAATCTTCTCATAATTCATCAATTTATTTATATTCTGAGGGAATTCCACTTCATATTTGGAAAATATTTTCAGAGAATAAATTCTGTTTTTAAAAAATCAATGGGATTCTTCAATTCAAAAAATACTTTCACAGGAAATGCAATTACCAATTAATGAGGCAGGATTTTCCAAATTTGAAATTATATAATCTTGCTTACCTATTGTCAATTATTAACTACTAGAAAACATAAATTTGGTTTAATTTTCTGATTTGGCCAATTTTGGAATATGCATACTGTATATAGCACCTTTGGTTAGATCAGTGTTTTTCAACCTTTTTTGTGCAAAGGCACACTTTTTTCATGAAAAAAATCACGAGGCACACCACCATTAGAAAATGTTTAAAAA